AACAACTTTGCACTCAGTTTTTGACCTACCCAGAAACGCATAGCAAAAATGAAACCCATTTTTGTGATCCTTATTCGGACCTCTACAACATGCAACAAATCATTTCCGAAAAGCGCGCCACGACCTGAAAGACCTCCCTTGTAGTGTGTTAGTGCAATCTTTATCAATTTTTTGGTGATTTTGATTCTTTTTAGTTTCTTTTTTCAATTTGATTTCCCGCTAATTCCACTAACTAGAGAAATTAGTTTCTGATTGCGTTGCCGGCGAACGTCTGAATCAAGTGCCCAGCGTTAGGTTTTTCCCCAGAAAAATTATCTCAAAGACTCCCCTGACTGCGAACAATAGGGTAGGGGCGCAAGGTCAAAAAACAGGAGTGCATTGTGCTAGTTGACTTAAGTAGTGAAGAAAAAAGTATGAAAAACCGTCCTCAATATGACCCTCCTCCTTGCACTTGATCATGATCATCGGACGAGAGTAGGATGGTCAAGATCAACAGTGATATGCAGAAGGTGACGATACACTGCAAAGCGCGGAGAGACCAGAAAATGACGGGCGAGAGAGCACAACGGCATTAGTACGACGACACGGGCAAGGTAGGCCGGCATGGGCCTCCTTGGGCCTAAAATCGAAGTTTACTGTGCTTTGCGTGCCATTTTGCAAGTTTTGAATGCAGTGCAACCTCTACAATCGCCTACCGGATCATCTGACACATTTAAGAGGTTATAGCCTTAGTTTATTGCGGAAAGTGCCTTTAACGATTTCTGTCTGGTTTTACTGCTTGACTTTTAACAAGTAATTAGTTTGTCGCTATCGCTTACGAATACACTTTTATGAATTTTTCAGGTGGGTATGACATCTGGTCAACACAATATCCGAGTAGAAGGTGGTACTCCTCATTTAGTCATCGAATCAGGTCGAGCGTGCGTTGAAGTGAAAACCAATCATGGTCTGCCACAAATTACAGAAATTTTGCCACCATTTGTAACGCCAGTGGACATATTTGCCAATCTCGGTCCACTCCAAGGTATTTTGTCCAATTTCTTACTAATTATCTTGCCTTGTTAATTATGCTTTCTTTGCCGCGTACTAATACATATCCCATTGAATTTCTTTTTTTTAGAAATGCAATGTCACCCTTGCAGAGTCTTTTTATCTCTTTGTGTATGTCATTTCACTTATTACCAAATAGTGTAGAGCCTCTTGAGTGCGACTTCGGCCCATGTGGCAGCATATGGGAGAAACCAAGTAGTTATGGGAGCGAGCATCATAATTTCCCAGGCGTCTCGATACAACTGCTTACTAGGGGAGCCACAAGTTGAAACGCCCATTTATGTTGAGACCTCTACAGTCAGGACCTCTACAGTGCATTTTCCTGCGCTCATCTCAGAGCTAGTGTCACAATCTGCTGAGCCTTTCTTCAAAGATTTGCAAGGTTTTCCTGCGAAGATTTTTTGGAGTGTTGTCCTGCCAAGCCCGCTCCCACCTCTCGTAGCGGGCCCATATACGCCTCCGGGCCAGATTAGTGTCATACTCGTGTTTGTGGCTCAAGTTACACTTGAAAACAAACCTCTAGCCAGCTCTGAAATTTTGTTCCAGCTTCGAAAAAAGTGGTTGCCCATGGGTGGTTTGCAGCCTTGCCACTAGTCCTCAGAGCAATCCTAGCATTATTTCTCGATCTCAGAGTAGAATTAGCCCTTCAGTCACTGAACAAAGCAGGACCCCCAACACTTGTCAGCACACAATGCAAAGACTTTGCTCCCGCAAGTCCACTCTGCATTCATACCTTTCCGGCCACAAGTGCAGCCCGTCTGGTGTCTCTTCAATGCTTCATCTTTCCATTTCCGGCAATCTGCCTTTCACTTTGTTTCTACTTCAAGTTTCCTGGTAATTGGGAACAACTTCCACCCAGAGATCAGTCGTGTTGGTCACGTTCCTCGATGATATACGCGCTGGGCTGTAAGACCACTGACGTTCGCAGCTCATTCACTTTTTCGGATGAAGTCAAAATTTTGACTGTAGTAACTTGCATTTGGGAGTAGCTTGAGCTACTAAGCACTAATATATCACTGCTTTTTAATACGAAAACGTGGGAGGGGTGCCCCACAAGCTCTAGCATGTCCAAGTCTCCTTTATTATAAGAAATAGCCTTTTGTAGAGAGATGAGAACTGAAGGGCAGATTCGAGATAGAAGTCCGAAAATGCATTGGATGGCTGGTTCTCATCAGAAAATAAAATAAATAAAAAAACAAATAGAACCCCGTTTCGACCTCAGTTTGTATGTGCCCAGATAACTCGATTTTCAACATTTTCACCCCCCCCCCAACCTCCCCCCCACTTCACACAGCTGATTCCCCTGTATGAATTCTACGACAGAAAGAACTCTACGACCGTACAAGTGACGATTTTCATGCTTTTTCGTCCTGCAGCTTCGTTTTTCACTGAAAGGCGGGCCTTGAAGGCGGAGTCTGGAGGCGGAGTCACTGGAAAAAAGGAGGCGTCACTGAACCTATATTGCGCTATAGCGCCCCTCCCTTACAATTTTTTGCCGCGAAACCGGTACAAGGTTGTTCGTCGCGGACCACTCTACCCTCCTGACGCCATATTTTCAACTTCTATACCTGATCGCGGACCTGCCTGAACTGAACCAGTTGATGTGTAAAAGTTGTTCTGCGTAGATGAACACTTTGCCTACAAAGCATGCGCTTCTTACTCGCTGCGAAGGCCTATCTTCGAGAGCAGGAGTCGATATTCTTTTAGGCATTACCTCTATATGCTCGAAATTGCCTTCTTCGCTTTTTTCTATATGTTAGAAGAAAAATTGGAAGATCTGTTCAGTTTTGAAGTGTTGTTTTCAGCGCTACTCTACACTACTCAAGCTCCACTGCCTGCCGAACCATCATTTCCTCGTCCAGATGAATTGGCCGCTCTAGAACTCGGCTTCAACGATACCCGCTGCGTAACGTGTCTGAACGGTACATCAAGATTTTCTACTACGAGACTGCCTCCGAACGTTGTTCCCACATTTCCTGCTCAATCCGTTACCTATGCACCATTTCCAACACTTGTTTCACTTATAACTGGAGAAACGTCCTTCCCCGAGATAACTGATGGCACCACGGTGCCGGCAGTACCTTCTATCGGATCCACTCCGCCGCAACAAACGCAGACTTCAACTTTGACATCACGAATTACGACGGTAACGATCACTACAGCAAGGGTGACAACACATCCTTCTGAAACAGCCGTTTCAAGCAGCACATCGGATCAATTCGTGATTGGCCAATTCGATGGTGTGTCGAGTCAAGGGCCACAGACGACAGGTGAGTCCGAGTTTGTGTGAAGCTTTTCATGTTTAACTTTGGTGAAGAACTTCATTCATCCCATCTTTGCCAAATACTTTGCTGGCACTAAGCTTCTTCCCGCTCCCCTAAAGTTCTGACATTTCAGTAGCCCTACTGGATTGCCTTTGTCAAGCATGATTATCGCGACCTTTAATTCTGTCAGGCTACGCCGTAACAGAAATTCGTGGGACGT